CGAAAAAAATAACTGAATATAGCGTTTTTCACGATTTTTCGTCTTATTTCCATAGAGATCAATGTTGATATATAAAAACAAACATCTTTTTTTGAAAAAAAAAACCCACTTTATTATGTTGTTTTTTTTCAATATCTAAGTTTATGTTTATCCAAAAAAACTAATTATACAAAAAATCTCAATTTTTTGTCCTCTATTAATAAACATCATCATCGAGTAAAAAAGATCTTGATTAGTTCAGATTCACACTGTGAATCTAAACTGTAAATATTTCAATTTTAACATTCACAATGTGAATATAACTTAGAGCATTAGGTATGGGTCACGTTATAACACTAAGTTCATATGCCACCTCATCCATAACACCACCATAACACCAAGGAGGAAATGGTGTTCCCCGTGTTATAACATGTTAAGAAGTAGAGAGAGAAAGAAAGAAAATGATTTGATTGGTTGATAAAGAGCAACAACCAATTAAACTTCCCGTTGCTTCTTGTGCTCGTCACAACAAGATATGCCATAACATCCTCTTAACAAGAAGCAGGGGTGGTGTTCATCTTGTTATAACTAGGTTATGAGGTGCCACATCAGCAAAAATAGCACTTCTCGTTGCCCATACCGTATACTCTTAGTATTTCAACTCTTTAATCATTCACAAATTAAGTGAAATTCATATATGAATCGAAAAATATTTCTATGTAGTTTTATAATATTTTAACGTTTTTATTACTTGTAAATTAGTTTTGTAAAATCAACAAATGAATTTATTCATATTGTGAATCTAAACTGTATATAATTTAGGTTTCAAAATTTATAATTTGATTTTGGCTTATTATTATTCATCTTGTAAATCTGAGCACATTCACAATGTGAATTTGAACTGAAATTTCGATTTTTTTTAAAACATTAATATGAATATGTGTTTAAAGAATACCAAGAAATATGAATTTTGATATATTTATTAATTTTTTCTATAAAAAATAGACCTTAACTTTTTAAAAAACAAAGAAAATGAAGTAGGTTTTATTGAAGAAAAAAGTTCATTTTTTATATATCAATAGAGATCTCTATGGAAAGAGAACATAAAATGATGAATATCCGAATATTCGATTCCTTTTTCAATAAAAAGTGTGGCCTAAAAAATGAACTGATTTGTTATAATCCAGTGTATGTGCGTCCATTGTAGAAGTCTACAATCATTTTTTTTTTGCCGTTGATCGGTTTAAATTCTGCCACTTTTGATTGATTTATTGGTCTCTAAATTAATTAATTTCTCTCTCTTATATATATATATATATATATATATATATATATATATATATAAGAGAGAGAGGGAGAGAGAGAAAGAAAGAAAGAAATAGAGAAAGAGAGAGCGAGAGAGAGAGGGAGGTAAGTTCAATTGAAAAATACTGAGAATAGAAGAATTATTTTTAATCAATCATTTATTTTTGCTGCAAAACGTTTCGGCATAACGGGCCGTCGGAGGATGAGTAATATTCATATATGAATATAAATATAAGTGTATTAATATATTAATCCACTACCTCCCTCTACTACCAACCACCGCCACCTCCGCTACCACCGCCACCTCCACAACCAATGACCACCAACGATCGCCACCTCCGCCACCACCCACAACCGCTATATTCATATATGAGTAACCACTTTCGTTATACTTATTCATATATGAATATAAGTTTTCATATATGCATACACTTATTCATTTATAAATTTACATATCCATATATGTATTCATATATGAATTTGACATTTTGTGTCGGTCCAATACGTTGGAGCGCTTAAGCGGTAGATTTGAAATGAGTGAGTTAGATTCATTCATTCAATTTCAACCTTTTTTTTTCCTTAATTGAACCATTATTTATATATATATATATATATATATATATATATATATAATATATATATATATATATATATATATATATATATATATATAAAGCTCAATTGCTTTTAAAATATATAATAATATTCCAAGTTACAAAAGTAGCACAAAGCTCAATTGCTTTTAAACTGTGTTTTTCACTTTGTTACAGTTTTGATCATTTGATCGGTTAACCCGGGTGTCTGCTAACATGACATGATGACATGTCTGTTTCGATGATATTGAATGCTGCGGTGTTAAAATTGATTTTTTTCCACAAAAAACACTCAATTAAAAAAAAAATTCTTCAATTTTGACGCTCTGCTTTTTTTGTTCGAGATCGAACATCATTTTTCAATTTTGTTGAATGGTGAAAAATTTTTATTTGAAACTGTATAAAATTTTTATTCATTTTAAATCGTATAAATACATTTTTTATTTAAAAACCTTTTTTTCTTTATAAATACAAGGTTTTTTTTACATTCAAACCATAATGTTTTGTATAAATATGTATTAGTTATTAAAAACCGTATTCTAGTTATCTATTAGTTCTTCATTTTGTAAGGAAAATTCTTCTTAACTTTATATTTAACTTTAGGATATTGCTAAAAAAATCTCTTAATGATAAGATATGGGTTTTCTAAATTTAACATATATTGTAATAGTTTATGTCTAAGAATCCATAATTAGAACAATATTATATAATTAATTAATATCATGAAAATCAAACTGATCATAAGCTTCAGAATAATAAAATATTGTCAATTATCGTTTATGAAGTATTATTTTTTTAAATTTTTTGTTGTAGATTTTACACTTATTTTTATTTAAAATTATGTAATTCTCTTTTATATATATATATATATATATATATATATATATATATATATATATATATATATATATATATATATATATATATATATATATATATATATCACCATCACATTTAACGTTCATTTGAGAGGTGAGAAATATAGAACAAATATCAAAATTTAAAGAGAATATTAAAATAGATGTAATAATGACGACATTTATCCTTTATAATTTTTTTTGAAAATTGAACTGAAAGATATGGCTTTCAATATTGTTAGTGGACATAGTGATTACATAGGGTTAATGACATAAATGTTTGGTTTTACATTTTTACGTATATTTGATTCATTAGAAGTTTTGCATTTTTGTTCAATTTTACCATTTTTGCAACTTTAGCGGGTAAAACTGAACATTTTTGCAAAAGTTCATGGCTTTAATGAACCAAAATAAAAAACCAAACATTTCCTTCAAACCTAAGACTTTAATGAACCATAAATACACAAATGGGTAACATTGAAAAAAAAATTGCAAACTTCCTAGTGTAACAAAACAAAAATATGCAAAAGGATAAAACTAAGCATTTCTTCAAAACTTAAAGGTTTTTATGTTATTAACGCTAATTACATACTTCCACCGTAAGTAAATTGTCCTTCAATAATTAAATGACCATTGAAAATTAAGTCATTATAGCATTTGAGAGTCTCACCGTGACATAATGGCCATTCAAAATTAAGTTATGATAGCATTTGAGAGTCTCACCGTGACATTCAAGATAAATATGATATGAGATGTAAAAATTCCATGGGTTGCAAATATGGTCTCTTGGTATTGAACAACTTCAAACCTCCAAATTCATTTTAAAGTTACATATTTAATATAAAACGTGGTTTTTATATAACTAATATATATTTATACATAACATTTTTAAAAATAAAAAAAGTTAATAAAAAACTTGTATTTAAACAAAAATATGGTTTTTAAATTAAAAAAAATGTATTTATACGGTTTAAATGGAAAAAAAAATAATGTTCGATTTTGAAAAAAAAAATATTGTCAAATTTGAGAAGAAAAATAAATAAAACAGTGTCAAAGTTGAAAAAAAAGTGAAGATTTAGTGTTTTTTATAGGAAAAAAAATTAGTTGTAGCATGTTAGCATGTTATGTCAACATGTAACATCATCAAAAACCAACACGTCATTATGTAAAGTTATTATATCACGTCAGTAGACAACCGAATTAACCGATAAAGTGGTCAAAATTGTAACAAATTGAAAAAAACAGTGTCAAATTTGAGAAAAAAAAATATAATGTGAAATTAGAATTTGGTGTAACTTAGTGGTGCTATGTTGTTTTCTGTATATTTAAAATTACAATTTCGACCTCTAACTTATGCTTCATACGTTACAATCTACCCTACCTCTAAATTTGTTTTACTAAATCATTTTTTAAAAGTTATATATTTAGCTTATCAATTTCTATAAATTTATACATTTCGTTTTCTTTATTAGTTTAATTTACGTTTTAGTTTTCTGATAATTCATTATAATATATATATATATATATATATATATATATATATATATATATATATATATATATATATATATATATATATATATATATATATATAGGCCCATCTTTTATTCTTCACACATGACCTTCAAAATTAATGAACCGCCCATGGTGTTATGTTACATTAGTGGTGGAATTGGTACGGTATTAATTTGATTTTCCTTAAACCGTGTACCGTATCAACTATAATTGGTATAAAAAATTTTCTACCGGTATAGTAACAAGTATATTTGGTACCAATATATTTGGCTACCAACATGTTTGGTTGATACAAATTTGTAATGGTATGTATATCAATTTCTTTTAATTTTCTATTGTATGATTTTATAATAAGCAAATACATAAGATAATTTTGACGTTTAAAAAGAAATTAGTTACGTGGTTCTTTTAATTTACTCAAAAACTCTATTGAAGTAATGCTAAAGTAACGCTTTAATTTTGTGTTTTTAACGTGGTAAAAACCATTGACTAATGCGACCAAATAACCTATATAACACTCTTAAAACTGTAAACACTAAACACAATTAACATTGCAATATATGATTTTGTTTATAATATATATATATATATATATATATATATATATATATATATATATATATACACAAAGATTGTTCAATTAGTACGATAGTACCAACCAAACATGTTGGCTATCAAATATATTGGCTACCAACTTTGCTGATTCGATTGGTAACATGTTTGTTGGTTTTTTGTGGTACAATTTTGACAACCCTATGTTACATTATTTCATAACATGTCATGTATTGTCATATCATCTAATCTACTGTTGGGCCATATAATGATTTGGATAACTTTTACCAACCCTCCCTCTGAATCCCTAAATTTTATAATAAAATTTTTGAACTATTTGCACCATAGGGAAGATGGACTACACGGATCTCCTAAAGAGCATGGATGAGCAAATAGCAAGAGCCAAAGACGAAGCTTCGAGCAGAAAAATGATTATGGAAAAGGTTGAGAAATGGGCGTTAGCACGAGACGAGGAACGATGGCTAGAAGAATATAACATGGTCAGTTACTTATCAATATTATAAAGCGTTATAATTTGTGTACGTACAAATATAATTTTCTTGTGTGTCTAGGATGAGAATAGATATACGGTTAGTAGAGGCGCTCACAAAAATCTAAAACGAGCGGAACGTGCTCGTAGTTTGGTCAACAAAATACCAGGTAAGATATAATTCAATCCCAATTCCAAAAAATGATACGGTCGGTCAAGATATAAAATGCCATATTAAATTTTAGCTTTGGATTGTACTTTTTTACCTTGACATCATGTATTTGTATATTTCTCTTGTCTTTTTATTGAATACGAATAATAAATGACAAGGATATAATGAAAAATATGCAGCTTTAGTGGAGTCATTGATTTTGAAAACAAGGAGTTGGGAAGAAGAAAGGAAGAAGGTGTTTTTATATGACGAGGTATGATTAAATATACACCACTGAGATTTGACTTTTTACAAGTCAAGAATGATAAGTAATCCTTGGTTTGCTAGGTACCTTTACTCGCACTAATGGAAGAGTACAATATGTCGAGGCGTGAAAAAGAAGAAGAGAAACAACGACGTCAAAGGGTTAGTACTTAGTACGATCTTTTCTAACAAACAAGTGTGCATGGGTCCCTTTTTGTAAAAACTTATGTATGTTGGACCCTTATGTGCAAAACTAAATGATTTAAATGATACATAAATCTGATTTATTTTTGTAGGATAAAAAGATTGCTCAAAGTCAAGTAGTCGTTTTGCACGAGAGTGTGATGTGGACACGACCAGTCACGAGCTCTCATCGTGGCTTGGACCAAAGTATTGATGGCAACAAACGAAATTCCACAGGCATACAAGTAGAATCGAGCAACGAGAGATTATCTCATAAAAGTGCACCCTTTGTAAAGAATGAGAATGTATCTAAGAAACTTCAGCGTAGTCGTTTGGATCGCCGTTTTGGAGAAGATATGCCTTCAACTGTATCCTAATCTCCTTGACCATGCCTTACACAACCTTAAAGCATAACATTCATGTTTATTTGATGGAAATTTTTTTAATGATCTACATTTGTTTTATACTATTACTGTTAAATAATTGACTTATACATGTAAAAAGACTAGAACATTTGTAAATTGGCCAAAACTATATAGTAATTTGTGTGATATTCATAGATATCATTTATCGTAAAGGTTTTGGAATACTGTCACACCCCAAAACCTTGAATGGAGGAAACATTCTGGGGCGGAGAACGTCATGTACAGTATCACAACAATGAATAGTAGTAAACAAGCAACAACATCACCCATTGCATTAATAAAATAATTTCATACATGTGTGTTCTATCAAAGTTATAGATACCAAAAATATACATATCAAAATAAAAGATGAATCTTCAACGAACTCCATCTTCTCAAAAGCCTGGCACCTGTACCTGTCTAGTGGTGACCTGAGAATACAAGTTATTTTGAAAGCGAGTATCAGCTTAATGCTGGTGAGCTCATAAGTATATTAATGTATGAGTTTGTATGAAAACGTATGTAAAGTGTTCCGTAAGATGTTTTGTAAAATGTTTGAACTCTCCTAGAAAACCCTATGTTTCCTACTAACTGTAGCCTTCTACCAAGGCATCTAGTGTCTGTGCGTGTGTCTCTTGTTAGAGTGTGTGTTTTCCCAATTCTGGCTATCATTAACCAAAAATATAGTTACTACATTATCGTGCATCGTGTGAATATTCACGAAGTGAATGTAATGGGAAAATATTATCGTATCGTAGTATTTGTAATAAGTGACGACCGTGGTACTAACTACCTTATAACAAAAGGTGTTCCAAATAACATGTGATCGACCTATAGCCTGCTACCGACTCTAGTAAAACGCCGTAAGAAATGACATTTGGCACCCGTAGACCTGCAAGTCCCATTGTAGCGAGCATCAAGGTGTAGGATAGTCAATCCAATATAGATCTATACGAAAACTCATACGCTCCCCAACTAAGGAGATTCGGGATACAATAATGGTCATGGCAGGAAGTGCCATGACCCGCTCAATGGTTCACATAACTGCATAAATGTATATGCTAACTGAAAGTGTAATCTTTCTCTGTCTAGCCTGTGTGTACGAAATGTTCTGCGTGTGCTAGCTGTAATGTATGTCCTCTCTATCTAGCATGTATAGTGATGTACTGTGAGTACTACTCGAACTGACTCATGAATGAACTGACTCATTGTATGTTTCATTGTGCTAGTAATAGTATTTGTATCCTCCTATGCTACCCCTATGGTAACTTACTAGTGATGTAACTGGTACGTATGAACATGGAAGTATACCCTTGCTACCTAAGGGTACCGAATGAACTGGAAGATCCTTTATGACTATATATTCACACATGATATATAACTAATATTTAAATGACTTTTGGATGGGTACCCGATATCCCACCAGACCACATCTCAAGCGCGAAAAGGAAATAGGGTGGATAGCCTTACTAAGTCCTTTAAACATTCCTTATATAACTATACATACATAGACATGCAATTGATAATAAGTAAAACAGTAGTTTAAGCAAATGTATTTAATAAGTATAAGAACTTGTAAAACAGTTTGAAGTAAAACAGCTTGATAAACCATTTGAACAATAAGGAAATCACTAATTTTGTAGTTATTAATCACATGTGATTGATGTAATAACTATAAGCATTTGACTTGTATCCCCCCCCCCCATAAAAGCATTTAAAAACATTTAAACCATTGATTAAGGGGTATGAACTCACTTGAGGTGAGTGGATTGGATTGAAGTGTCGGATACGGTGCTAGGTGACAATTGAAGACTTGTACACACGCACGAGCCTAGTTATCATATAATGAACATATATATAACTAATTAGTCAAAGTGTAACTAATAAATTAAGTTGGGACACTCTAGAACATGAAAACACTTGGTTTCAAGTGTTAAACGTCATAAGGATCGCATCCAAGTGTTGGTAGGGCAAACTAGGGTGTTTGGAGTTCAAGGGTAAACTCCTTTGGAGTTTACGGTTTTGATGACCTTAATCCATGGAGTTTACGGCAGTAAACTCAAGGGTTTACGGTCGTAAACTCTACTCCTAGTAACCATGGGTTGTTTTCAGGTTCTACATGTCTTTTGAAGCATTTATACTTGGTGGTTTGGCCTTTGGAAGGGACTAGGGCAACAAAAACACTCCTTGGAGGAGTTTACGACCTCATGGCCATTTCCCTTTGGGTTTACTACTGTAAACCCTTATGGAAAAGGTTATTGCCATGTTTTCAAGTCCTTAACACAACTAGGAAATTGCCTAGGCTAGTCTTTAGGCCTAAGGAAGGATTTTGACCCATTTAAACATACTTTAGGGTGTTTACGGTTTTGGGAGCTCCCCAAACTGTAAACACCTAAAAATGGTGATCTTTGGTGATTTTCAAGGCTTATACACATCCATGAAAGGTTTAAACATGACAAGGAAAGCTTAAACATCAAACTAGAGATTAAATAAAGACTTAGGCACACTTTGGTGCCATCTTTGGTGTTTACGGCTCAAGAACCTTCTTGGACCGTGAAGACCCCAAGCCTTGTGTTCTTGGCATATTTCCTTGATGTTTACATGTAATACTAGTTAAAGAAGACTCAAGGATGGAAAAACTTACTATTAGGAGGCTTGATTTGAGCTAAAAGTCCAAGAACACTTAGTGTGTGTTCTTGGTGTTTTTGGAAATCTAAACAAAATACATAAATTATTGGATGAATAGATGCACAAACACTAGATTAAGCATTAAACCAACTTGAAATGGTTAGAACACTTACTAGTTTGAAGATCTAGAACAAAATCTAGGATGATAGTTGAAAGGATATTTTGGAGTTTACTCTTTTGGGATCTTAGGGAGTAAACACATAATAGCTAGTCTTGGGGAGTAAACTCATACATAGGTATGAGTTCACGGTTTTTAGGGGATTTTTCAACCCAAACGTAATAGTTTGGCCGCGAAATTCTAAGACACGTGGTGTTTGCGGTTTCTAAAAATCAAAACCCGAGACGGCACTTTCTTTCACCCGTTCGTTTAAAAATAATATTAAAATAATCAAACGAACATTAAATTTCTTAAAAATAAGAAATAATTACATTAACTTATGATAAGAAGGGGTTGACTTTTAGGATTTGACCAAATGGAAAATTCGGGTTGTCATCATCCCCCTGTTAAAGGGAATTTCGTCCCGAAATTAAAGTCTAAACAATAAAGTAGTTACAAATAACTAAGCGAAAAGATGAGGATATTTCAGTTTCATCTGATCATCACGCTCCCAAGTGAATTCCAGTCCTCGCTTAGCGTTCCAGCGAACCTTCACAATTGGGATACGGCTTTTTTTCGTCTGCTTGACCTCTCGGTCCATGATTTCTACTGGTTCCTCCACGAAGTTGAGGCTCTCGTTGATCTCGATCTCTTCGAGTGGAATAACAAGAGTCTCGTCAGACAGACACTTTTTCAAGTTCGATACGTGGAAGGTATAATGTACATTATTGAGTTCACGCGGCAAGTTAAGTTTGTAAGCCACTGGGCTGATTCTTGCGAGACTCTCGAAAGGCCCAATGTACCTTGGATTTATCTTTCCACGCTTTTCGAAGCGTATCAAGCCCTTCCAGGGTGAGACCTTCAATAGAACGCGGTCGCTCACCTGGAATCCAACGGTTTCCTACGTTTATCAGCGTAGCTTTTCTGTCGGTCTCTGGAGGCTTTCAATCGTTCACGGATCTGAACGATCTTCTCCGTCGTTTCCCGTATGATTTCCAAACCTGTGAGAGTGCTTTCAGTAACTCGTCCTCTAGCTAACTGGGTATCACCCACCTCAGCCCAGCACAGAGGGGATCTGCACTTTCGGCCATAGAGGGATTCGAATGGAGCAGCCTTTATGCTCGTGTGATAACTGTTGTTGTAGGAAAATTCAACAAGGGGTAAATGAGTATCACATGCTTTCCCACAGTCGATCACACAGGCTCGCAACATATCTTCCAAGGTTTGGATAGTTCTCTTACTTTGCCCGTTGGTCTGTGGATGATAGGTTGTACTCATGTCCAACCTAGTTCCTAAGGAACTTTGTAGTGATTGCCAGAACCTCGAAGTGAATCTACTATCTCTATCCGAGATAATGGATAAGGGAACATTGTGCAGTCTTACAATCTCCTTAATGTAAGTCCTTGTAAGCTTCTCCATCTTGTATGTTTCTTTGATCGACAGGAAGTGTGCAGACTTGGTCAGTCTATCGATGATGACCCATATGGAATCAAGTCCACCCGTCGTCTTGGGCAACTTGATTATGAAATCCATAGTTATTCGCTCCCACTTCCATTGCGATATCTCCGGCTGTTATAGAAGGCCGGAGGGTTTCTGGTATTCGACCTTTACCTTGGCGCAAGTAAGGCATTTACTCACGAAGGTAGCAATCTCTGCTTTCATGTTAGGCCACCAGTATAACATTTTGAGGTCCAGATACATCTTATCTGATCCCGGGTGCACGGAATAACGAGTGTTGTGTGCCTCGTTCATGACCACGTCTCTGAAACCTCCTAGGTTCGGGGTCCAGATCCGGTCCATGAAATAATAAGCTCCGCCATCCTTAACCTCCAAGTTCTTATCCATCCCTCTTAGGGATTCACCCGCCACATTTTCAGGCTTCAAAACATCAAGTTGAGCTGCCTTAATTTGGGTGGACAAGTGTGAATGGATAGTCATACTCAATGATTTGACTCTACGACCAGAATATTCTTTCCGACTTAGGGCGTCAGCTACTACATTGGCTTTACCTGGATGATAATGAATTTCGCATTCGTAGTCACTGAGTAGCTCGACCCACCGTCGTTGTCTCATGTTGAGTTCCTTCTGGTCGAAAATATGTTGCAGACTTTTGTGGTCTGTAAAGATAGTGCTCTTCGTACCGTAGAGGTAATGTCTCCAGATCTTCAGAGCAAACACAACTGCTCCTAGCTCAAGATCGTGGGTTGTGTAGTTGACCTCATGTGTCTTTAGATGTCTCGAGGCATAGGTGATGACCTTTCCCCGCTGCATCAGAACACATCTGAGCCCCTGATTCGATGCATCGCAATAGACTACGAAGTCTTCTATTCCCTCTGGAAGGGATAGTATTGGTGCGGTGCACAAG